CACATGGGCCTCATGCCCATCAGGGCTCCGTCCTCTCTGTGTTCACAGTGTGGAGGTTGTTATCCACCTGTTGTGTCTCTTCAGTATTCATGTAGAAGTCAGAGGAGCAGCAGCAGCTCAATGTTCCTCCACAAACAGATTCAGCACCAGAACAGTCGTTGTGCAGCTTTTCTCAATCCCATGTCAGGTTTTTGTTGTTGTTTTTGTTGCTTGTGCTCCTGTTGGGTCATTTAATGGCACTAAATGAACATGTTTGCACAGAGAGAGGAGGAGCGACACATCTGGAGCTGTGTTTATGCAGATGAGATGGCAGAGTGCAGCTTGGATTATCAGTTTGCCGTGTTGTTGCATTTAAAGCCTTTTAAGACCCCCTCCTTGTGCAAACACACTTTTCGTGGCTTCAGATGGCAGAGGCGCCTCTCCAGAATCACAAACCCTCCTTCATTTATGTCGAGAGTCATTTTCTGTGTTCTGTCCACTTCAGATCAATATGTGTATTAAACGCATGATTCATGTGATGGAGGAAGCTTTTTACCCGTAAATGTCAGCCGCTTGAGTGTGACCTGAATGGCCAAGTGCTGATGCTGATGGCCACTGAGCAGCCTGAAATCATTCACAGAGCCGTGGATTAGACACGTGTAGGCGTCACATAGCAACAGGACTCATGTGCTTCAGCCTCTGGTTGGAGAGACGGATGGTTTGTAGTTTCCAAGGACTCACAGGAGCAGCTTCAGTAAGTGTTTCAACCTCTGTGTAGATCTGACAGGAAAGCATGTTTTCTGTTTTTCAGACATTTTTTGGGCACATTTTGTCTTAGTTTGTGTTGCACAGTAGAAACAGAGAGATGTCCAGTCAGCCTGCTTTACAAGAAGTGATGAAAGTGATGAGTGCTGAGTTAATGTAGGAAGACGTGGTGTCTGGGGAAGATGCTGCTGTCTTCATATCACGACGACACAAACATTTAATAACTGCTTGTTGTTACACATTCATAATGACATCACCCTCGTAACCTTTCTGTGTAGCCACAGCGTCCAGGCAGGTGCNCACAGCATGATGCTGCCACCCCCGTGCTCCACAGCTGGGATGGTGTTCTCAGGCTTCCAGCTTCCTCCTTTTTCCTCCAGATGTACCGATGGTCATTAAGGCCAAACAGTTCAGGTTTAGTTCCATCAGACCACAGGACATGTCTCCACTGATGACGCTCTTTGTCCCTGTGTGCATCTACAGACTGTAATCTTAATCTTAATTAAAACAAATCTTGTCAATGAACCTATCAGAAGCTTCCAAAGCCATGACATCATCATCTGGGCTTTCCCAGATAGGTTGAAGGCATCTTAGGGATGTAAACTTCTGACTCTGAAGAAAGTAAGAAAAACATCTCTAAAACATTCTCTCTCTGGTTATTCTGGAGTTCAGGTATTATAATAATGTTGGTGATCCTGACTGACCTGAAACAGGAACAGTTTAGTCTGATGTTGTGGTTTCAGCTGAATATAAACCATCCAGCATCATGAGGAGCTTTAGCTCCACTCAGCTGTGGACGTTTTTCCATTTTGAACAATAATGAGGAATTTCAAACTGAATTCACCTTTTATATCCAAACCTGAGCCACTGGGCTTCTCTGAGAAGTCAGAAGTTGATCAAGCAGAACATTCAACCACTCAAACTATTTTTTTCCGTTCAGGAATGCAAGTAAATACCCAAGAACCAAGAAATCATGATGTGCTTTACTCATTTTTCAGTTTTATGTAAAACAGTAAATTTGAAAATTCATGGATCACACAATATGTAATACTGTTATATAACAATAATAACAATAATAATAATAATATTTATTACAGACTGCCAAACTGCCAAACTGTGAGCTGCCTTTGTTGTTTTCTCTTCTTTTCTTCTGGCCTGCCTTCACG